ACAGCTGACAGACACAGTGTCTTTAGAAAGTATTCCAGACCCCCATCTCCCAGAACCCGGCGAGCATTGAAAGTAGGAGAGCAAAGAGCTCAAAGGCAGAGGGCACATAGCAGCACCCGTAGTGATGATGCATGAAGAGGAGAGAGGGAGGGGGTGGAGACTCACTCAGGGCAACGCCATTATTCCGAGAGGCCACATTCCCAAACCTCTCTCTGTGAATATTGAATAAGGACTTTCCCTTGTCTTGTCCATTCCTGGCAACCTGCGGTGGGGGTTGGTTCCTCTGCTGCCTGACAGAAGGAAGACAAAGACCTACGGAAGGCTGACTGATGCAATGATACCTGCAGAGAACTGATAATGTTTCAGCTGAGGACACTTCCAGGCAACCTGTTTATCGAACACTTAATTCTGATTTGTCTGCAGGGTGATTAGACAGCATTGCTTCCAAGGAAGTGCTATTCCACATGTTCTAGTGCATTTAAAAAATAATAATAACAACATGGTAATACCAGGAAAATCTAGTCTGCCTTAAAGCATCTTGGGTTGTTGTTTCTAGAAGGTTAAAGCAACCTTGTCTTACCTTCCACGTTTAAGCTGCAAAGGATGGTACACTGTTGATAAAAAAAGGATCATAACCAGTGTTATCGTTCTAGAAAAAGAGGTGCCAGAACTCACCATGAACACCTCCTTTGTTCTCTTAGAATGGCAATGGCGCTCACCTGATCATAACTTAACAGTATAGCCTCTCCTAGTGTCTAAATCCATTCCTACAATTCCTACATGGCAAACTAAATAGGTGGGAACAGATAGGTTTGGGGAGCTCGAATGCAATTTTTAGCTTCTTGTGTATGACACTATTTCCTTAGTGCGAGGTTGCGTGGCAAGTCCCCCCCCCCCCCTGGAAATAAAGACGCATGACACAATTATTAAGGTTAACGGGCTAAATAAGGCCACAACGTTATTGGTTACAGGTGATGAGTGGTATTGGCTTAGGCATTGGTCCTAACCGACTATATCCGACTCCAGCCCGTCCACTTGAAGTCCAGGAAGGGTTAACCACCAGTAGGGGGAGTCCTGCTGATGCACATCAACTAAGAACTCCCCCAGGGTCACCGCTCGGGGGCATGCCTTAGGCCCTCACCTCCCCAGGCTTTGGACAGGGCCACTCCCCCTGGAATCCTTTATTGCACTATCCTTCAATATGCGGGGCAGGTGATGGCGCTACCTCCCCTCTTCCATCTACAGAACAATACCAATGCTAGCAGGCGGAGAAAGAGGGAGATCCCCGGCCTCGTCCTGCCTTAAATAGGGCAGGCCATGCCCCCAGAGCCAGCTGATTGGCTGACCAGGGTGTGACGCGGCCGGGAATCCCCCCAATTGCATGGGGCTGGGGCTGTGAAGCCCACAACCCCACCTCCTCTGCAGGCTTTATCTAGTGTGACCAGATGTTGTTTGACTACATCTCCCATCACTGCTGAACATTGGCAATGCTGGATGGAGTTGAGGGCAGTTGAAAGTGCAATGACAACTGGAGGGCACCGTGTTGGGTACCCCTGATAACTGCTGGCGGGAATTTTGCAAGCCTTTGCACCCCTGAGTTTCATAATTCATAGCTGAGCGCTAGAATTTGTGTTTATTTATTTTTTCATTTGAACTCTGTATTCACTGCCACTGGAATTATGTTCTTAAAGAGGATATGGCGGAAAAGGCCTTTGCTGCATCTCTCTGTGCTAGGCAAGCGCGATGGCATTTTGAAAGAAGTAATCATGTTTGCTTTCCTCAGTTGTATATGCATGCTTGCTAAACTACTGAAATGTTAATACCCTCTGTAAGAAACAAATAAGGGAGCTCGCATTAGGGGACATATTTTCATGTTGAAAACTCAAAATACTTGGCAATGAAATATCCTACAGAGCATCTGTGAAGTTTCTGGCTGGGATCCAAAGAACAGCACAACTAGTGCTGTAGCCCCCAAGGGGGTCTTTGTGCCTGCATTTCTCCAACAGGAGCTCCCCACCCCCCACTGTGTTGCATAGCAAGCTGCTTTTGAAACTGAAGGGACTTTCAGAAGCATATTGTGGTATGGCAGGGGTCAGAGGGGTTTCTCGTGTTTAAAAGGAGGGAGGGAGAAAATAAGCCACTGAACATGCCCAAATCCTTAACTGGTGCCTGCAGTAGATCTCTGGATCCTCACCTCTGTTTATAAAACGAAATGGCACCGTTCCTTTATAAAAGCGGCAGTGGTTATATTAATTGATGCTGTGCCTGCAAAGATGTTTATTCCATTTCTCAATAGAACAGATTTCTTTTTCAGAGTGGCGTGACTGAACCCAACATCAGGGATAGACTTGCTCAGTGATTGTAGTAGTACAGTAGTAGTAGTAGTAATCATAATAATAATACTGTAGTAATAATAATAATAATAATAATAATAATAATAATAATAATGGATATGCTGCCTATCTGACTGGGTTGCCCCAGTAACCTGAAGCGTATGTAACCTGAAGCGTATGTAACCTGAGGTACCACTGTACCTCAAAGTGGTCCTGACATGTGTACAGCTTTGCCTGCAAAAGTTATCAGCTATAAACACACATTTACATCAGTACAGTGGTACCTCGGATTACACACGCTTCAGGTTACATATGCTTCAGGTCACAGACTCCGCTAATCCAGAAATAGTACCTCAGGTTAAGAACTTTGCTTCAGGATGAGAACAAAAATCATGCAGCGGCGGCGTGGCAGCAGGAGGCCCCATTAGCTAAAGTGGTGCTTCAGGTTAAGAACAGTTTCAGGTTAAGAACGGACCTCTGGAATGAATTAAGTATGTAACCAGAGGTACCACTGTATTCGAAACCGGGGGGAAAAGAATCAACTTTAGCAAAGATTCTCTGTCTGGTCACCTGAAGACAGTTCTTACTCACCACAGGTGACCAGGCTACCAGTTATTGACAAATCTGCCCATTTGGTGCCTTTGCTCCCAAGTCTTACTCTTCCAGACATCATGGAAACTATGCTCAACTATTTCTGGGCAATCACAGAATTCCAGTCGCTAAACAGAGAATCGCTTCTGCTGCGCTATTCCTTTTGTATGTTAAAGAAATACTTTTAGGAATGTCGCGGTGAGCAAAGCACTGCTAATTGCATAGGTTTGATTTCTTTCTGGAAGCAAGAGTGGTAGTCAAAGGAAACCTCTCCAACACAGGTGTTTTTTAAATCATCGGTGACCCCTACATTGTAGAGCTTTTAAATGCCTACACAAGTTGCAGGACAGCTGAGCTTTGGGCCGAAAGCTTTTTGCGTTTGATCATTTATTTCCTCTCATGTTCCTGCTCTCTTTTCTCAGCACTTAATTCGGTTTCCCAGGGACACCTACAGGTAAGAAGAGAGTCAGACAGGGAGAGAAAGCCCATGGCTGGGTTCCTGTATAGGGCAATTTCCCTCCCCCCGCCCCCCACGCCAGTACTTTCTGTGACAGCTCCTGGACCATAATATATTCCAGCGGTGTTCAAACGCTCCTGTGATGCCCTTGGGAATCAAAGCTCAAACTAACCTCCTACTGTTTCTATCAGGGGCTAGGAAGATGCTCTTCCTCCTGTGGCTGCAGACTTTAGTTTTGACTAGGATCAGACATGTGGCATGCAATCTTTGAGCCTCCTCTAAAGATGCTGTTCCCCTTCACGGATCACTGCCTTGCCGTGGCAAAGGGGCTTGAATAACTCAGAGAAGCTATGAACTATGCCGAGCAGGGCACCCAAGACGGACAGGTCATAGTGGAGAGTTTTGACCAAACGTGATCCACCTGGAGCAGGAACCGGCAAGCCACTCCAGTATCCCTGCCAAGAAAACTCCATGGACAAAGACAACAGGCAAATAAAAGTTATGATGCTGGAAGATGAGCCCCTCAGGTCGGAAGGCGTCCAACATGCTACTGAGGAAGAGCGGAGGACAAGTAGAAGTAGATTCAGAGCTGATGAAGCAGCAGGGCCAAAGCCGAAAGGACGCTCAGTTGCGGATATGCCTGGAAGCGAAAGGAAAGTCCAATGCTGTAAAGAAAAATATTGCATAGGAACCTGGAATGTAAGAACCATGAACCTTGGTAAGTTGGATGTGGTCAAAAATGAGATGGCAAGAATAAATATTGACATCCTGGGCATCAGTGAACTAAAATGGACGGGAATGGGTGAATTCAGTTCGGATGACCATCATATCTACTACTGTGGGCAAGAATCCTGTAAAAGAAATGGAGTGGCCCTCATAGTCAACAAAAGAGTGTCGAAAGCTGTACTGGGATGCAATCTCAAAAATGATAGAATGATCTCGATACGAATCCAAGGCAGACCTTTTAACATCACAGTAATCCAAGTTTATGCACCAACCACTGGTGCTGAAGAAACTGAAATTGACCAATTCTATGAAGAATTACAACACCTTCTAGAAATGACACCAAAGAAGGATGTTTTTCTTAATAATAATAATAATAATAATAATAGTAATAACCCAGTTCCAAGATAAGAACTGGATGAGGTCAATGGCCCATCTAGTCCAGTGTCCTCTTCTCATAATGACCAGCCAGATGTCTGTGGGAAACCAGCAAGCAGGATTTGAACACAAGCCCTCTCCCCTCTTGTGGTTTCCAGCAACTGGCATTGCTGCCTCCAACTGTGGAGTTCAGAGCCTAGCCATCATAGCTAGTAGGCATTGAAAGCCTGCTCCTCCATGAATTTGCCTAATATCTTTATCTTCAGTAACTCCTGAGCCACTAGAAAAATCGGAGAAGGGACCCTTCATTGCATTTTCCAGTGCTGGAAGTGCAACGGAAAAACAGATAAGCGCTTATGCTGTGATATACTATACCTAACAGTAGGGCACAAATGCTTCCATGCCTCTGAAAATGTCCCAGCTGTACCAGCAGATCTGTGTCATAGAATTATAGAACTGTAGAGTTGGAAGGAACCGCAAGAGTTATCTAGTCCAACCCCTTGCAATGCAGGAATCTTTCACTTAACATGGGGCTTGAACCCACAACCCTGAGATTAAGAGTCTCATGCTCTACCGACTGAGCTGGTAAATGTGTCCTTACTTCAGGAACGGGGAACCTGTCAGTCTCCAGATCTTAGAATCATAGAATCATAGAGTTGGAAGAGACCACAAGGGCCATCGAGTCCAACCCCCTGCCAAGCAGGAAACACCATCAGAGCACTCCTGACATATGGTTGTCAAGCCTCTGCTTAAAGACCTCCAAAGAAGGAGACTCCACCACACTCCTTGGCAGCAAATTCCACTGTCGAACAGCTCTTATTGTCAGGAAGTTCTTCCTAATGTTTAGGTGGAATCTTCTTTCTTGTAGTTTGGATCCATTGCTCCGTGTCCGCTTCTCTGGAGCAGCAGAAAACAACCTTTCTCCCTCCTCTATGTGACATGCTTTTATATATTTGAACATGGCTATCATATCACCCCTTAACCTCCTCTTCTCCAGGCTAAACATGCCCAGCTCCCTTAGCCGTTCTTGTTGGTCTACAGCTCCTATCATCTCTGAACACTGGCCATGCTGTCAGGGGCTGATGGGAGTTGGAGTCCAGCAACATCTAGAGGGCTTTATCTTCCTCATCTCTGCCTTCCTTCCTGTTCCTCTACTCAGGCTGCACACTATCCCACCCACCCCCTCTGTTTTTTCCTTCTTCTTCTTGCCTTTCATGCTATGATTCACTCATGGTGATGGTTGCGGTAGAGTACATGTTCTTTTCAGCTCACTGTAAAAAATATTAGAGAGAGAGAGAGAGAGAGAGAGAGAGAGAGAGAAATCTTTAGAAGCCAGAAAGCATGAGTAATATTTAAATCCATGTTTTGAAAGCTCCTGGCTAAAATTAAGTGTAACCCTACGTTTATATAAAGGTCAATTGTGATTCTAATTACCCTTATGTAAACTAGTCGGTATTTGAACTGCACAATTATAATTCATATGCATCGCTTTCGTTGTCTGCTTTTAAGCTTTTTTATAAACAGAGGCAGGATTCCAATTCTACCTGGACAGCTGCAGAGAACATAGCAGTGGCTTGATGCAAACCTCTGGCTCCCTAACCTCATTTCTTCTAGCAGTCTTTACACTAGTATAATTAATGTAGTCTTTCATTGGAGTCACTTTGGTACCTGTGAGTTTCCCCTGATGAGACGAAGAGCAGCTTTGAGGGATTGGCGGCGGGGGGGGGGGGAGAGTTTTACACTGGGAATATGGTGCAGGAAGAGAGATTAACCCTATTCCCCATTGCCATGGTCCCAATCCAAGGGTGGGTGGGTGTGGTGATGGCTGAATTAAACATAAATGAAGGGAAATTCCATTATGGATCTTCTCCAGTCTCACCTGAGGAGAGAAAGAGAAAGAACGAGAGGTTGTTGTTGTTAGGTTCCTTCTTTCTCCCAAGTGTCTGACTTGGGTCTCCTATCGAGAGAAATGGTTGGGTCAACATCTGCTCAGAGTCAATTAGAGATGGGGTAGAAATTCCATTCAGTTTGCATTTAAAAGGCAAACTTAAATCTGCAATTACTGTAATGCGTTATAGGGAGGGCTGCCTCTGAAGACAGTTTGGAAACTTCAGCTGGTGCAGAATTCAGCAGCCAAGTTGCTCACGGGGGCAAAACAATCAAAGGTTTTTCATAAACAGGAAAATCATTATGCTGTGACAGGAGGCCATCAGAAAAGAAAGGAGGCAGATGTCTCCGGATGGAGAATTCCAGAGTTTAGGTGCAGCCACAGAAAGTCTTGGATATTTCAAGTGTTCAAAGGCCTTCCCGTACACAGTGGTGTAGCATGGGGGGGGGCCTCCACAGGGGCGGTTTCCCCAGGTGCAAAATTGCCAGGAGCTAAAAATTTCAACACCTGGGGCTGCCTCAATACAGCTGCATGCTTCTGTTGGTGGGCTCCGTTGAAAATGGCTTTTCCATGTGAACCAGGAAGTGACCTCTCCAGACAATGGAACAACTCTTCTTTTCTTATCTCTGCAGTTGTGATCTCTTGGATGATGTGGATGTGCATGTGTACTCCATCAGTTTCCCTCCCTCCGTGTGGCCCCAGACCCTGGGAACCTATGCTATGCCACTGCCCATACATTATCTCAGCTTGCAATCCTGTACAGCATAGTATACGCACTTAATCTAGATATAACTAGGGTTGCCATATTTCAAGAAGCACAGACACAAAAAGTTGAGCTTTTTCGGGGGGGAGTTGTTTAGCTTTTGGGGGGGAAATCGCCCAAAGAAAGTTGTTGAACTTTTGGGGGAAGCTGCTGAGCTTTGGGGGGGGGGGGGGATTTCAAAAAATCCGGACATTTTGACAATTTTCAGAAATTCCTCCCAGACACTAATAACGTCATTGGAATCCCGGACCTGATTAGGCGTGTCCAGGATTGTCAGCCTTACACAATCCTACGAGTTAAATCAACATTACTGTTACCCCCAGGTTTCAGATGAGGGTCTTAAGTAGTCATGGCCTGCCTATGGCCACCTGGTGAGTTACAGCGCGATCCTAACTGCGTCTCCTCAGAAGTAAAGTCCCCTTGATTTCAACAGGGCTGACTCTGGTTAGGCTTGCAGCTTTAACGACGAAGCTAAAATCTGAAGCTGGTTCTTCTCAGCTATGCTGCACATGCACTGCAAACAGGTGTCTGAAAACAAAACTGAATGCTATGAAAATGACGACCCGCTCCGCTGCTCCTTGCAATATTCTGTGCAAACCAAGTCTAAGGGAGGCAAGTTCCAACTGGCTCTTGACATATCCGAGAAAGCTGAACAGAGCTTGGCGCAAGGCTGTAATTTGGTCACACCTTTGCTTATGGGTGAGAGAGCTCTTGCTGCAGCCTGACATCTGGTAAGCGGGAGTCTGTACACAACAGAATGCAACCCGGGGAACAGAAGACTCTGCTTCCCTCCTGCCTCCGACTAGCTCCACTCATAAGCCTACTCAGGGCCGTCCAAGCATTTGCTCCATATGGCTGTGTGTGTGGGTAGGAATGGAATCGTCTGTCAGTTTCGCTTTCTCTCTGTTTCTCCTTTTTGCAGTCTTAAGATCAGTTTGCCCCATTTCCTCATCTGTGTTTCGAAATAACAAAGCCCCGTGAATGTTTCATACACATTTTCCAGGCAAGTTTCTCTTAACCTTCCCTACCAAACAAGTTTTTTATAACTTTCCTGGAAATGGGTTCCGAAAAGTAGTAGTAGTAGTAGTAATAATAATAATAATAACATCTGTTCACACATACATATTCACATCAGTCATTTGGGGCTCTAAAAGAAGGGAGGGAGGGAGGGAGGGAAGGAGGAAGGAAGGAAGAAAGAGAGAAAGAAGGAAGGAAGGAAGGAAGTAGGAAGGAAGGAAGGAAGGAAGGAAGGAAGGAAGGAAGGAAGGAATACACCTTTGTAAAAGCTTCCACGCCTGGTAACCTGGAGACAATATTTTCTCATCATAGGTGACCAGTTACTATTTATAAATGAATTATATAGTTTATAAGACTACTCTAACAGCCCCATGCGCAAGGGGCTTTTGAAGAAGATCAGATGTGTATCTGATGAGAGAGAACTAAATCGTCACAGCTCACTCATCAGTTTCATCTTCTTTTCATAAGTGTTTCAACCCAGGTCTTCCAAAACTCCGCCAACTAGCCTTCGGTCATTTCCTAATTTTCGATGGAACTGGTTCTTGTCACTACTGACCCTTCCTTATTATGAGGTGCTAATTTAAGAAGCAAGAGACAACTTGCTCCACAAGCTGCCACCTTCATAGCAATATGTATTCCATCGGTCCAACTTGGATTTGAGAATTTTGTGTTAGTTAGTTACTACCTCTGTAAAAAGATTCAGGGCTTCATCACTGTTAGTGGCGTTAGCTTGTAAAACAGCGCTGTAAAAATGTGACTGTAGCTGGTACCTATCTGTCTTTTCAAGAAAGCACAATAGCCGATCACTTCTCTGCCATTTATCTTCATAAAAACCTGCAGGCACAAGGTAATATTTTACACCCAGTGTTAAGATAACTGTTACAAAATATATGGGGACTTCATGTGCCCAGAGGTATGACAGGTGTATGAATGCATGGACAGCTGTGTACTTACGTATGTGTGTACATGCATGCATACATACATATACAGGCAAAGTCAGACACACTTCATCATGCTACTACAGAAAGCATGTACAAAGGGTACTTTATATCGGGAACACTGTTGGAAATTCATTTTGAATACTAGACACTTGTGGTTGGATGCAGAAGATGTTCGACATATGCATGACAAACAGTATTTAGGCCAAGTCTGCAGTCCTTTTCAGCACGTTTTCTGTTGTAATTGTTATTTCCCCCCTAATCAATTATCTCGCTCTACCTAGTTTGTATCCTTATATAGAAATGGCTGTAAAATTTTGTAAAAACTGAATGGGGCTCCCTTTGCTTTGTCCCAGCTCCTGCCAACCTAGCAGTTCGAAAGCATGCCAGCACAAGTAAGTAATAATAATAATAAGAATAAGAATAAGAATAATAATAATAATAAATTTATTTATACCCAACCCATCTGGCTGAGTTTCCCCAGCCACTCTGGGCGGCTCCCAATCGAGTGTTCAAAATACAGCATTAAATATTAAAAACTTCCCTAATCAGGGCTGCCTTCAGATGTCTTTTAAAGATAGGATAGCTGCTTATTTCCTTCACATATGAAGGGCGGGTGCCACTACCGAGAAGGCCCTCTGTATGGTTCCCTGTAACCTCACTTCTCGCAATGAGGGAACCGCCAGAAGGCCCTCAGTGCTGGACCTCAGTGTCTGGGATGAATGATGGGGGTGGAGATAAATAGGTACCACTGAGGCAGGAAGGTAAACAGCATTTCCAAGCACCAGAAGCGGTTTAGTCATGCTGCCCACATGACCCAGAAAAGCTGCCTGCAGACAAACGCCGGCTCCCTCGGCCTGAAAGTGGAGAAGAGAGCCGCACCCCATAGTCAATTTTGACTGGACTTAACCGTTCAGGGGTCCTTTACCCTTTACCTCACCTGTCCCAGCACCAATCCCCAGGCTCTGAGCCTTCTTACCTTGGGG